AAACAACAGCAATGACAACAACAACAACAACAACAATGATAACAGCCGTAATCGCAACAACAACAATGGCAAAAATACTGGCGAAGTGGGGGGGGTTGGGAATATGCAGAGTGATGTGTCCGGCGAGATGGGGCTTGGGGTTGAGGGATCACTTTGCCATTCCCCCCCCCTTCTATCTGCTGTTTCTACACGGTGATTTGTTCTTCTCTGTCGGCCATCAGGTGGGAGTAGGGTAGATGACCACCCCCTTTTGATTAGACCTGACCGGCCCTCAATCTCTAATCATGAAGGAGTGCCGATCACCCCCAAAGGGGATGTAGGTTGCTTAGGGTTTCGAGTTTTGTTTTTTTTCCCTTCTGGCAAGTTCTTGGGGTGATCGATGCCGATGGCACCCCCCCAAAGGGGATGTAGGTTGCTTAGGGTTTTGAGTTTTGTTTTTTTCCCCTTCTTGCAAGTTCTTGGGGTGATCGATGCCGATGGTTTTACAGGTAGGACAATACTTCATGGGCACGAGGTCAATCCTTCCCTGCTGCAGGGAAGTAATCAATGCCTCTGCTCATATTGGAAATATTTGGATGTATTAGCTCATTGTAACAGTTCACACACAGCATATCATACATGTTACATCACTGGCAGAGATTTGTGCCATCCTATGCATCACATCTTTGTTAGGGTTTCATGGATCTGCATAGGGGTGCTGGGCCCGATTCCCAGCAGATACATTCGCATCACTGTACAAGGACGCTGGACCCGATTTCCAGCAGGTGTAGCTCCCCACCAATAGATGGAGCCTTCGACGCCGGGGCCTACTTACCGGGGATGCTCTTATCACCTCGTTACGTAGGTTTCCCGTATAACGAAGTCTCACCCAAAAAAAAAAAAAAAAAAAAAAAAAAAAAAAAAAAAAAAAAAGACCCCTTGCCTCGCTTGTTTCGCGCCTTCCTGTGTTTTTGGAAATTGCTTGTGGACCTGCCAGTGATAAAACATGCAACTTAATCCAGCGACCTAGCTCACTTGGTAAGGCGCACAAGTGGCATTCAGGAGGTCTTGGGTTCAATCCCCATTGGCCTCATGTACCTTGGCGCCCGCCACCTAGAGATAGCCTGTTGGTCCCCCCCAATTGGCATTATGCTCATAGGGGGAGGGGTAATCGGGAAGGCACAGCGACTGGCCACTCAGATGATGCTCGATCCTTCTGCTACCGGCTGTCCCCTGGCCGGTGTCCCCCATTGGGGGTTCCCTGAAGGCAACAAGGCCACCATGGGCTGAAAAGGCCACCCGGTGTCACATTAGACACAAGATTAAATTTACCTGGGCTGGTTAGTCCGATGATAATACCTCAAGGCCATCGCCCTTTTTTTTTTTTTTAACATGCAAATCTCTTGTGGCTGCCTGGACATCAAGCAGTCCCGACGGCACTTTGTGAGATTTGCCTAGGTGTAAGAATCGAGGATCTGCAACATTTGTGCCTTCACTGTCAACTGTCATACTGCCTTTGGGAATGGTGGAGGTTGGGATCCGTTCCGATCCCTGCATCTGACTCCCGTTGGAAGGATGACTTTATCTTGCTTGGAACAGTCTCTCGTAGGCAAGACCGTTGTACGCAATTGACTTACCCCCAGGAGTGTTTGCGTGGATCCATCTTGTGGATGTTGTGGTCCCTACACAATGCTGCTGTTCAGCGACAAAAGCTGCTTACTCCCCCATGCTCAGGGCTGAAGTTAAAATTCTATCAAACAAATTCTCTCCACTCAGTGGGCATTGAAGGTACCGAATAAGGCCTACTCTCTGTGGGCACTGAAACTTCCATTCTTCATTGGGAACAGTTTCCGGATCTTCTTAAGGTGCAAGCAGTCCCAGGCTCAGTGACACAAATGATGCTCTCTTCCTTCTTTGTTTGATTGTCTACTGTCGTCGTTTACTCTGTTGCAGCAGGAATGACGCCAGTCTTTAGCTTGTGGTCCTCTTTTCTGCAATTTTCTCGCAGTTATACTGCAGTTGGTTCAGACTCTTCAGAGCTAGTATAGACTGATAGTTTTGTTTCCCCTTTCCTTGGTCCCAATTTCTCCATCTGTAAATACTGTAGTAAATACCGTAGTCCCTTCTTTTTTTTTTCTTTTTTTTTTTGTAAGTCAATGGTGTTGTAGAGGCCAGTCACTGAGTACACAGTGATCACCTGGAGCAGTAGGCCGTGGGTGTCCTGGAATATGAGACCACCTCCCATCCCATCCTCACGTCAATACTCGTAGCGCACCCCCTATCCCACTATCCTGCCTCAGTGTGACCAGCACTCAGGACCGTTACCCTGCCAATGGGCAGGTAACTTGGACCGAACAGCAGTGATAGGCACTACCGTAGTCTCTTATACATGTTTAGTAGTTCATAATACTTCATATATGTTTTTGCTCTTAGAAGTTGTTCAGAAATTGTTTAGTCAGAAATAGTTTAGTTATAGTAGCGGTAGTGAAAGGTGGAACCTTTTTTTATTTTTGGTTTCTGATTTTTGGTTTTTGATTTTTGGTTTTTGATTTTTGGTTTTTGATTTTTGGTTCACTGTGGTTCCCTGGATGAGCTTGTGGATGGGCTTGGCTGGTGATGCCTTGGTCACCAAGGGCCCCAATCAATTTTTGTGAGGGATGCTGGGACCATTTCCCGTCTTGTACAATAGAGTAGGGGGGGAAAAGGATGAAAGTTCATGAAACACATAAATGGAGAAATGGTCCAAACAAAGTGACTCCCCGTGAGAGCCGGGTAGCAATAGATTGGCTGCCAGTCCCTATCATTTCAGGGCATTCTCACTCAGCTCTTTCCAGAATGTAATGACTGGACTCTGGCCAGATCTGGGGCGGTACAAGAGTGAAAACAAGAAAATGACACCGCATTTTGTTCCGGCTGCTTCCAGCAGGTCCAGCATGAGGGGCGGCATTGGTGCCAACCAACAAATTTCCCCTAGCGGCTCCCATCCCCTCCAGGCTCAGCAAAGCTTGGCACGCAGGCCATTTCAGGCTCGACATGAATGGCTGGGCGTAAGTACTGGTGGTTTAAACCACCAGTACTTGGCCGAGCTACTGATGCCGAGCCTGGAATGCCCCTGCGCGCCAATTTTCGCCGTTTTGAAAATTTTTTGGCTGGTGCTTCCAGCCATTGTGGTCCGGTACCCTGAAGGCCTAAAGGCGCGGCGCGTTAACGGGAAAGCACCGCGGCCGATAGCTGGGCCAAGTACTGGTGGTTTAAAGCACCAGTGCATGGGCACCTGGGCCGCGGGCCTGACACCTCAAATTCCGGAGGTGCAAAACAAAAACGCGACAGCTCAAATTTATCAGCGGTGGGCCCAGCGTTTGACATTTCGGCCTCATTTTCTTGTGATGACAAGTTTCGGACTGCAAGGCTGGGAACCCGCTGTAACCCAGTCCCAGCGCCCAAATTGCACTCATACCTGCAAAACAGCCGCTGGAAATTCTTTGCATACCCAAAAATGAGTTGGACCCAGGCTGGTGCCGTACAGTTGTGGTCATAACCAGCTACAGGAATGCTCACATTATGGACATACGCACCTAGATTAGGGGCATACCCAGAACTGAGATGGACCAGCCAACTTGCAATTATAGTACTGTTATACCCAACTACCTGCTGGATGAAATTTTCCTCATACGGTCATATACCCAGGGCCATTTGGCGACCATGGTCCACCAAAAAGGGTTGGTTTCAAAGCCCGAATCTGGACGTTTTCGATAAATCGTGATTTTTGCATGTAGGCTTTAAATACGTTCAGATTCAGGTGCTTAATCCAAGTCTTTTTGCTAGTGGGACCTCACCCCCCCAACCCCCCTGCCCCCCTCCACCCTTTCTCTCTCCCCCTCAGCACCTCTCTCTCTCTCTCTCTCTCTCTCTCTCTCTCTCTCTCTCTCTGTGTGTGTGTGTGTCACAGTGTGTGTGTACCGGAAAGGGGGGGGGAGAGACGAGAAGAAGGATGGGGAACAGGGGGGAGGTGCATTTCGAAATGCCCTCTCAGTGTGGCTACCACCACAATTTTGCAAGCCCGGTTTCAGGGCATGTGCATAATTTTGTGGTCCTCTACAAAGAGCTTGCGTGAGTTGATATGTCTGCAATTTCATACAGGGGGAAAGTTGGGTGCGGGGACTGGGTATAGCGGGTATTTCCATCTTCAAATGTGGTACAGACGCAAACTTCGTAACAAAAGAACATTTGCCAAATATGGAGAGTTGCAGACCTGGGAGTGGCTGAACTGCACACAACTATAACTGTTGGTGACAGGTCATGAGGTCGAATCCTGCCTGTATCAGGTCAAATAATAACCAAAGCGGCTACTTGCAAAAGAAAATGAAGAGGACAGGGGATGGATTTGGAAAAAGAAAAAGAAGTGGCAGGTGTTGCCATGCTCACCGCTTTTTCTTTTGTTCTCTCTCTCTTTCTTTTTTTTTTTTGAAATGATGGAATTTCCCATGCTGACCGGTTTTTGACATCTGGCGAGTGGTGTAACCACTGGAACGAGCTCCAGCTCGAGTTGCTTTTTTAATGGCTTCTATGCAGCATAGAAAAGATCCGAATGTGGTAGGATTGTTTGGGTTATTACAACCTTTAGCAGATGGTTTGAAAATTGAAATTAATGATAAAAGAGCCTATTCTACCGAGTAGTGCTTATTTGTTCATCTTCTTTATAATGGCTCCAGTCATTACATTTATGTTAAGTTTAGTTGCTTGGGCAGTAATACCTTTTGATTATGGTATGGAGTCCACTGTGACCTTGTTACAGCTTGAGACCCCTTTCCCTTCCCACTGCTGTGTACTAAGATGCCTGATGGATGTAAGAAGCCTGGGGGATGGATGGTGAAGGACAGTGTGATGTCATGCACATAGTTGTGTGTGGCAATGCCGTCTCCTCTATTGCACAGTTGCAACGTTGCTAACATGGTGGCAATGTCGTCTTCCTCTCGTGCACATGTTGCCTCATCATTCATGGCATTCTATGCGTTATGCAGATGTTGGGCCCACAGTAGTCACGGGATCGCCACCTGCCACGCTGTCGCCGCCATCGCCTCCGCTTCAGCTGCCCACGTGGCCTCCCCCAGCTTCGCCAATCGGCCACCTCGGCAACCAATCTGCGTTGCGCCCCTATTTATCGGCTCTACTCAACAAAACATCATCCTTAACTCCGCATCCAGTGCCCATGATCGAAGCTCCCTCCTTGTCGCCTCAGTCGGGAGCGGGCTCTGAGCAGGGAGAAGATCTCGTTGGAAGTTCCTTGCAGCCGTCCTTCGCCTCCGGCCATGACTTGCAAGTAGGTGAGAGTCAGATTCTGTTGTCCCAGCACAGTCCGATACTTCCAGGTTTGATCGAAGGAGACATACAAGGAGGCAAGGACTCTCTGCAGCTGTCTCCATCATCATCATCATCATGGGGCAATAGACAAGACCAGGTGCAGGTCCAGGGAGCTGCTGCCGCACCAAGCGGTGCTCCCACTGCTGGTTTAGAAGTTCAACATGGTGCATATTCCAACGGTACCAGTGCTGCTCCTTCCGGAAGCTCCCCCGAAGCAAACCCTTACGGCCAAATCTATTATGCGCCTGACCTTGATCGAGACAACGGGGCACTTTTCAATCACCCCAGTGTACCCCTGCTATTCACACCACTACTGCTGTACTGGACGGTGCTGATCCGAATGTCCTGTGACCTCTATGTCTAAGGATGAGAAAAAGGGTCGGAACGTGTACATAACACCGAACTTGGGATTGTGGACTAACGGTGAGCCGTGTAGCATCATCTTTCGAATGTTCGACAGGTCCTCCAGCCGCTCTGCCCCTCTCCGGATGAGTGTTTGAGTCATCTCTGAAGCCGGATTGGATCTCTCCGCGCTCTGCAATGTGATAATTGCGTCAAGAATGTGGAATGATGCCTTCGTGAACAACCGACTCGCAGGGCATATTCACACTACAAGTAGCATTGTTGCAGCTGTATATAACCGAAATTGCGGCCAGATGCGGTCAAATAGCCCGACTCGGAGTGGATGCTCCCAACTTAGCAGACATCAACAGTCCAGATTCAGTGACGGCAGAGCATTGATGGGAATAGAAATGTGGCCGCGATTAATTGAGGAAACTGCAGTGCGAAAGTGACTGTTTGTTGTTCGGATACGATCATACATGAACCAAGTTAACAGCCCGCTCACGGACTCGAACGAGAAAATGACAACTGTAGCAGAGGCAGAGAGTGAGACATTATCATGTGCCGAGTAGGACGCCAAGCCAAGTGCCAAGTTGGACATTCATTGGCGGAGGCCCGAGGGGACAACATCAGCTTGTACTGGATGGCATGTAAAGAGAGTGATGGAAGGGTGGGGCTGATGAATGGACTACAGCCAACCACGTGATTAAGGCATGGAGCGACGGGTGTTGTTAGGGGGCCAATCAGTAGCAGATATCAACAACTGGAATTGGAGCAATGTCCTTTGACAGTCTGTGATCGCAAGTGCGCTCTTTTGTCTGCTCCGCAAACAGACATGACAGAGCACATGAATGGAATGAGGGAAGATACAAAGAAAGAAATTGACCACGGAGAGTGAGGATCATCTGGCGATTAGTTTTTGTCCTTTTTTCCGATTGTACGTGTGTGTGTGCGTGTGTGCGTGTGTGCGTGTGTGCGTGTGTGTGTGTTTGTGCGTGTGTGCCTGTGTGTGTGTATAAGAGAGAGAGAGAGAGAGNAGAGAGAGAGAGAGAGAGAGAGAGAGAGAGAGAGAGAGAGAGAGAGAGAGAGAGAGAGAGAGAGAGAGAGATTGTCGGTTGTCAATCCCTCATGCAAAGAGGTTCGGGACTTGGGTGGGGAATGTTGGTTTTGAAAGTCACAACAATCTGACGAGGAAGGCGTGCAATGCAAGATTGAAGGAGAGGTGTATTCTCGCAAGAACATTTGTCTCTTTTTTCTTCTTCTTCTTCTTCTTCTTCTTCTTCTTCTTCTTCTTCTTCCTCCTCCTCCTCCTCTGCTGCTGCTCGTGCTCTGTGACTGTCAGATCACAAGAAAGTTGCGTCATCGGGCTCCATTGTCTTTATCATTATCTTTAATTCTTCTTATTCTTCTTCTTTCTGCTGCAGATGCTGCTGCTTCTCCTCCGCCGTGACTTAAACATCTCGAGAACGACGTGACATTGGAGAACCTGTGACTTCAAGGTTGCAACAAATAATATAAAATGGGGCATGCCTTTTTGTGCGGCCAGCGATTTACAGAGAATGACAAAAACAGGCCGTTCGAGTCTCCTTCCCCTGAAGGGAGACCCATTTCTAAACGGAGGTACCCCCCCCTTGTGGCCTATCCACGGAGAAACGATCCTATCGATACCTACCTGTGTCATTCCCTGCGGAGAAAAAAAATCATCTACAGTTGTAGGAGCGCTACTGCGATGATATGGCACTCCACCCGGGGGAAGCATGTGATACCCATAGAGCTGTACAGGCCTGTAAGGGGAAGACATTCCCTCGAATAGGTCAAAAGGCAGTGTAAACTTTGCCTGCCCTTAGCATGTCAAAGGATACTGAAAGGAAGAACCTAGATTGTGATGAGTCAACTGGCCCTTTGGAAGTGGAAGTTTCGAGAACCAGAAGATAGGCAGAAGGTTCGTATCTTGTTGGGTGAGTGTCATATGCTTGTCTTAGTCGCTTTCCTAGTAGTCCCCCGAGGTTGCTGTCACAGCCCCGGGATGTGTGAACAGTGGACCGCTGGATGTGCATGGTGGGACTTGGGCGAGCTAGAGTTGTGGGATGGGAAAGAAGGTGTAGTTGAGGGAAGAAGGACAGAGAATCCACCTAATGAGGATGTGGCCACAACACAAACTCATCAGAGAGCCACGAATGTGTGTCAGACGATGCTTGTTTCACACATATTCCATGAAGGGATCCACGAATATTACATCAATGATTTTGAAGTCCTAATATGTGTATGACAGTTGGTCGAAGGTTCCCATGCAGGGGCTTAGTTTTCTTTGGTCATGAGGTGTATCCGCATGCATGATGTTTCATGCCCATGAGTTTTGAGATTTTGAGGAAAATGATTGTATACCCCTGCTGCTGGATTCAATGTGTAATGAGCATGTGCGCTAAGAAATTTAGTTAAGGCGTGCATCCACGTTTTCCCGGGAGTTATGGACCTTGGTTCAACATCGCCAAGGAGTCTCTAGGGTCTTTCTCTAACCACTCAGTTTCTAACTCCTCTAAGGACTCAGACACATCCATCGAACAGAGTATCGATTGGTCCTGATCTGTCTGCGGGGCGACCATGCGGTCAATAGCCTTGGCCATCGTCTGAAATGGAGAAGGTAAGGTTACCACTTCAGCACGAGTAAGAGCGGCTAACACTCCTACTGGCCCGAGGTGTTTCCTTCGGAAGTGCTCGCAGAAGCACCACCAGAGTTCGAAGATCCAACTGTCACTATTGAGGACGCGATGTTCGTAGCGACCCGCTTACTCTTGCACTTAGCCATCGTGTGCCCATACTGGCGACATTCAGGCAAGCGCCTCAAGCAACACAGTCTCGCCACACTCTAGACCAAGCTTCACCCATATGGGTGGTCCTTGGTCACTTTTTCCCTTGGGCCGACCTACCTTCTGTTTCCCGACCCCCTTAGCCTTTTCCCCGATAGGAGCGACCAATCCACCATTTGAAGTCTCCCATCTAACTCTGTTTCTTCCCGAAGGTCATCGAAGTCATCAATCTCAGTCACTTGACCATCACGATCAATGAACATGAGATTGCCTTTCTTCCTCCAGTCTTGAGGGAGTTCTTATTTCTCCGATCTACCGGTCTCTGTTGGGCACTCCCAAGCCTAGCCTCAATGTCTAAGGCCTTCTTGTTGAATGAAGCAAAGTCATGTACATCGATGGAGGCCTCATCGACCAACTTTTTCTTGACATCTGTAGGCAGACGTCGCAAGTAAGTTGTCAACAGGACCTGCGGTTCGTACTGCACACCAGGGACAACGATCAACCGCTCTACGACGTCTGTTACCTCGCGAACTGTCTGGTATCTCTTCAACCCTAAACTAGCCAACGAATCGGTAGCCTTCTAAGCCCCTTGGGGATCATGCCACCTGCTGTAAACTAACTGTATGAACTCCTTCAATGATCTGCCCTGTGCCCAGCCATCGAAGTTCTGACAGCAGCCCTGTTGTTGTACTAATCCATTCAACCACCTTGTTGCAGATACTTCTAGAAAGGACGCAGCGACAATGACTTTCTCCTTTGTCCTAGTGAGTTTGTGCCTCACATCTATGAATCCCCCTCGGCGGCAGCCATGCACGGCCGCGGTCACGACCTCGCGGTCATGAAAAAAAAATAAAAAATAAAAATGAAGTAAAAAAATTCTCGAAAACAAATGTGTTATGCAGAAAAATAAATTGAACAACTATCTCCTTGAGTCCTTGTGGTCATATCCAAAAACTTTACTAAATTTGAAATTAAAAAACACGTAAGTTGGGTAGCACGGCGTACATGTACGTGGGCTCCGCATACATGCATACGTGTATGCACATATGCATATACGTGTCGCATACGTATGCGCGCGTACCCAAATTTAGGGTACGCGTACGTGGTCACAGCGGGCCGTTTCCCGGGTTTGTCTTGGCCCGGTAGGGGTTGGGGGGTGGGCGTTGGGATTGGTGTGTGTGTGTGTGTG